CCTTGAACTTTTCAACCTTTTGCCACATTTCAGGCTTCAAACATAAAGATATAAAATTTTAATTTTTTGTGAAGAATCAACAACAAGTGGGACACAATCGTGAAGTGGAATGAAATTTATTGGATGTGTCAAACTTTATTAACAAATAAAAAACTGAAAAGTGGGGCGTGCAATATTATCCGGACCCTTGCGTTAATACTTTGTAGCGCCGCCTTTTGCTGCAGTTCCAGCTGCAAGTCTCTTGGGGTTTGTCTCTATCAGTTTTGCACATGAGACTGAAATTCTGCCCGTTCTTCTTTGTAAAACAGCTCGAGCTCAGTGAGGTTGGATGGAGAGCGTTTGTGAACAGCAGTCTTCAGCTCTTTCCACAGATTCTCGATTGGATTCAGGTCTGGACTTTGACTTGGTCATTCCAACACCTGGATATGTTTATTTGTGAACCATTCCATTGTAGATTTGGCTTTATGTTTTGGATCATTGTCTTGTTGGAAGATAAATCTCCGTCCCAGTCTCAGGTCTCTTGCAGACTCAAACAGGTTTTCTTCCAGAATGGTCCTGTATTTGGCCCCATCCATCTTCCCATCAATTCTGACCATCTTCCCTGTCCCTGCTGACGAAAAGCAGGCCCAAACCATGATGCTGCCACTTCCATGTTTGACAGTGTGGATGGTGTGTTCAGGGTGATGAGCTGTGTTGCTTTTACGCCAAACATATCGTTTTGCATTGTGGCTAAACAGTTCAATTTTGGTTTCATGTGACCAGAGCACCTTCTTCCAGATGTTTGGTGTGTCTCCCAGGTGCTTGTGACAAACTTTAAACAACACTTTTTATGGATATCTTTGAGAAATGTCTTTCTTCTTGCCACTCTTCCATGAAGGCCAGATTTGTGCAGTGTACGACTGATTGTTGTCCTATGGACAGACTCTCCCACCTCAGCTGTAGATCTCTGCAGTTCATCCAGAGTGATCATGGGCCTCTTGGCTGCATCTCTGATCAGTCTTCTCCTTGTTCCAGATGAAAGTTTAGAGGGACGGCCGGGTCTTGGTAGATTTGCAGTGGTCTGATACTCCTTCCATTTCAATATGATTGCTTGCACAGTGCTCCTTGGGATGTTTAAAGCTTGGGAAATATTTTTGTATCCAAATCCGCCTTTAAACTTCTCCACAACAGTATCTCGGACCTGCCTGGTGTGTTCCTTGGTCTTCATGATGCTCTCTGCACTTTGAACAGAACCCTGAGACTATCACAGAGCAGGTGCATTTATACAGAGACTTGATTACACACAGGTGGACTCTATTTATCATCATCAGTCATTTGGGACAACATTGGATCATTCATAGATCCTCACTGAACTTCTGGAGTGAGTTTGCTGCACTGAAAGTAAAGGGGCCGAATAATATTGCACGCCCCACTTTTCAGTTTTTTATTTGTTAAAAAAGTTTGACACATCCATCCATCCATCCATTTTCTTTACCCATTTATTCCATTTTGGGTCACGGGGGTCGCTGGTGCCCATGTCCAGCAATCACTGTGCGAGGGGCGGGGTACACCCTGGACAGGTCGCAAGTCCATCACAGGGCCACATAGAGACAAACGAGACAAACAACCATTCACTCTCTCACTCACACGTTACCAATCAGCCTAACATGCATGTTTTTGGTCTGTGGGAGGAAACCGGAGTACTCGGAGAAAACCCACGCATGCACGGAGAGAACATGCAAACTCCACCCAGAGAGGCCCCTGGACCGGGGTTTGAACCAGGGACCTGCTCACTGAGAGGCAGCAGCTCTACCAGTTGCGCCACCGTGCTGCCTCCATTGTGTGTCATGTCCAATCTTATTTTGAAAAACCGTTATAGAGCGATTCCGCGAAAAACGAACCGTGAAGTAGCGAGGGACTGCTGTAATGCAAAATTAGCTGCTCGAATTGACTGCTAGCTAGTCAAGTTTGGTCAGAACTGACCTGTATTTGTCCAAACTAAGTCGGTTCAAAAGCGTATCTCCAACAGGTAAAATACTGTTTGTTCATACAGCTTCTACAGAACCCCACTTAAAAAAAAATCTGAACATGTGCACATTATAATATTAAAACAAACCCAAAGCATATTTGTCATTAATCAGATTTTTAAAATAAAACATGGAGAGCAGAAACTGCTGCTGGCCACATGGTTTTCAGTACCATTTTTAAAAATTTTATTCTGTGTTTAATGACTATAAAGCATGAGGCAGGTGGCGTTTCAGATTAAGGCTAACTTGCTCTCCAGAGTCATCGTGCCACTGGTCTGTTCACATCTTTATTGCATGGCAGTGATTAGCACACCTCTGGCAGACCCTGGCTCTGCTTGTAGAATTGTCTCTTCACGTCACGTTTTAACTTCTAATCCAGTAAGTCACCACTTTTAACTTCTGAAGAGGATATCTTACTTTTCCATCAAGAAAGCAGCTTTAAAGCTGCTCGCTGCACCGCTCTCTTATCAGGCTTGTCCAGGAGGTCACTCAGATCAGAGCCTGTCGTCTGGCTCTGCACGGCCGTCTGCTGCTGCCAGAAAGAAATGATCCTCACAGTCGTGTGGGTAATCTATCCTCTATCTTCTGCTTCCATCTGTTGGCTTTTTAAAGTCTGAAGTCACAGGCTGAAACTTTGTGTCTGAGCAATAAATTTACTTGAGTACAACTTGTGGCTCCATTTAAGCTGCATAAACAGATACTAAAGACAGGAAGGATCTGCCTTCTCAGGGTTTTTATTTCATTTTAAACATGTTAACATGGAGTTGTTTGCATTTACCCCAAATTACAGCTGTTCTCGTCTGGTATGTAGTCATGGGAAAAAGACAGCCTGCGATTTTGTCTATTCTGGGGTTTATAAAGTAGGACACAGAAAAAAACCGATGTGGTCTTTTCCAGGTTTTAAAGTTATTCAAGTCTCACCTCAAGTGCACAAATACACAACAGATTCCACAGATTCTGTTCTGATACGTAGTTTGTTTTTGTCAAACGTGTCAAACGCTGTGCATTATGGGTAAACACCTCTACATTAGTCTCATCTGACTGAAGGACGTTGTTCTAGAAGTCTTGTGGTTCATTTAGATGAAACTTTACCGACCCAAATCACGCTTTCATGTTTTTTTTTTTTAGAGTATAGGTTTTCTCCTTCAACCTTTCCAAGCAAGCCTTTTCTAATTGTCCTGTCACGATTTAACCTTTACGGAGGCCTGTAGAGGCTGAGATGGAGCTGTTGGGTTTTTTGCAGTTTATCTGAGCATTGCACAGTCTGACCTCTGGGTGAATTTACAGTGTCATCCACAGCTGGGAAGACTGGCTCTGTCTAGATGTTTTCCACTTGTGAATAATCTTTTTCTTTTTTTTCTGCAAAATGATGAGCTTCATCTATTTTTAACCTTTTCCAGATTGGAGAGCAGCAACATCTGCTTCTCGAAGGTCACTGCTGATGTATTTCCTTCTTGACATTGTGTTAACACACTTGGATGCTCCAGAGCAGCAAATTGCCAAAACATCTGCTTTCATAGAGGTGGTCATACATGATAACCAGTTCTGTATTTACTCAGGAGAACCTGGCTGCTACTTTCTCTCTTAAACCAATTATTTGCCTTTAAAGAAAACTTTAATGGACACATCTTTACTGGTTTTTAAAGATGACATTGCTTAGCTTGTCAAATTAACATTTATATTGTATATGTTTTTTCTTTGTATAAAATTATACTCCGTACTGAAATGGGAAGTTGTCAAATCTGATCAAACGACAAGATTATCTTGGCAAAAATTGCTCACCGTCTTAATAGGTCTAAAACACAAAGTTTACATTTAATAAAAATCTAATTTTGGTCAAATATTACAATAATTTTTGACCAAATCACATAAGTTTTTTTGTTACTGATACATTAATGTTCCTCTTGTATACATAAAAATATATCTTACATTTACAATTGTGTTTTAAAAACAGAAACGTGAGTAAAAACCATTATACTATATTTTTATTATTAAATGTGAATATTTGTAATCCAAGTTACACAAAATTTAAGAAGTTTTATGAAAAGCAATTAATTCAGTAATCTGTTATTTGTTCAGTGGTGATGAGTAAATGCAATTCAATATTTTCAGTGTCTTTATTGACTTTTTTATTGTATTTTGAAAGAATATATCAACAAACTCCAAAATATTGCGAAGGAAGCAAAGACGCAGTGTTTGTATAACAGCATGTTAGTAGATTATTAGGTGACAAGTGAAGGTGTCAGGATTGATATTAAAGAAACCTTCACCCGAGGCTTCATCTTTCTGAACAAAGATGAATTAAAAATGACAACTCTGAATCTAAATTTAAATATTTCCTCCAAGAACGTTCTGTACGTACAATACAATGAAGTCACCTTTGTGTTTGTTTTGAACCAAGCTAAAATTAAGTAATTTTAAAAATGTCTCAACTTCTCTGCAGAAGAGGTTATTTGAATAAGACAATGCTCTGACAGTGAGAATGCATGAGATTATTACTATATGCTCAGGTATTAAGAACAAACTACATTCCCTGCTTACTGCTGAGTGTTTTTTGCTGAAAGTTGCTGAAGAAGTTGAAACCAGCTGAAAAGGTTTCTTGGCTAAACTGTTAATGTGAGTTGAATTTGAACAGCTATTTGCTGACAGCAGGAAAATAAAAAGCAGTAGAAAATGGCAGAAATAGGCAGAGAAAGGCTAAATCTTTTAGGATAAAATCTGAAATTAGCAAAAAAAAGAAACTGAAATAAGCAGACAAAAGCTGTAATTGTAGCAGAAATAAGCTGAAAGGAGCAGAACCAGAACAATAGCTGAAATGAGCAGTAAAAGGTTTTAAACAGAACTAAGAGTTTGAAGGATGTGGAGAGAGCTCCATTCATTTTCAATGAGAAAAAACGGTAAAAAATAACCTAAATGTTTCGAAAGTAAAATTTGCACTAACACCAAAAGTTATAGCAAGAATGTCCTGAATGAGCTGAATGTTTTGATAAATTAATTGATGAAAATGCAAAAATTGCGGAATGAATTGTCAAAAAATGTATGGAAGGAAAATGGATCTCAGTAGTTTGAACGTTTTATAAACTTAACTTATAAAAGCGGGCTGCACAAAGTTTTGTTTTGACGTGTTCTGGCTGCTCAGTCCAAGTCTGGAGTGATGAAAATGAGACAAGGAGCAACTGTTACAAACTTCTGGATGAGCTCACGCCTTTCAAGAAACATCACTTGTTGTGTGAATTCACACTATTGATATCCTGTTCAAGTTTCTTCCGTACATTTTTCAGCATCTAACTCATCCCGCAGATTTTAAGCCGTATCATCAGTTAAGGTATAAAAATGTTCAGCTTGTTCAGGACACTGCCGATATGACTTTTGATGTTTACTGTATATCTTTTAAACTTTTTTAAAATATTCAGCTTTTTCAGCAATTTCTTTTCACCTTGAAAAAACATTTGGATTCTTTGAAATCCTTTAACACCTTACTGCTTTTTGAACTTTAACTACTTCAGTGTACTTCCACCTAGAAAAACCATTCAACTTAAACAACTCGTAAAACATTCAGCTATCACCAGCTGATTCAGCTTTTTGAGATCTTGAACCGTTCTTGTAAAATCAGAGTTTCAGTTTAGTGAAATGTTTGCTGTTTCCCGTCCTTCCATAGGTTATTGAAAATGTTTAGTTCAGCAACATCCAACAGATGTTTGACTGTGTGTGTGTTTAGCTCTTTGCAGGCTCATTCACCTTTTTCAGCTTCTGTTCAGCATCTTTAGACTTGTTCAACTACTTTTGGTTGTGAACATCATCCGTCCTGCTTAATGTCCAAGAAAGGTTCTGATGCAGCTTTTGCTTTACAGCTGTTTTTGTTGCTCTGCTGTTCTTCAACTTCTTGCGGCTAATTTCTAGTTTTTATTCTCCATGCAGCTTCTTTCTGTTAATTTCAGCTTCATTTCTTGCCTTTCAGTTGTTTTCTTCTATTTAAAACTTTTTCCCCACTGGTTTAACCTTTTATTTGACCATTTTAACTTATTTATGTTTTATGTGCCCTTTAAGCCACTTTTGTTCTTGGTTTCGGCTACATCTGTGCTCGTTTTAGCTGTTTTTGCTCATTTTTAGCTTCTTTCTGTAAATTTGAGCTCGGTTTTTTTTTTTGTTAATTTCTTTCATCTACTTTTTCACTAATGTCAATTTTTGTAATCTGTTATGGTTCTTCCAACTTCAACCAATTTATTTTTAGATAATTTAAGCTAAAATTTGGTAGTAGCCATGTGTGATCCTCAACACACACTGAAGGTTAAATAAAAAATTCAATATGGCCGCCAAACATAACCAACACTGTCCAGCAGTGGAGCTCTAACTCCGCAACCGTGTGATCTAGGAATGTCAAACTTCTCAGCTGGACACCTCATGGGCCAGCAATGACACTGATCAATTTTTGGGTCATGGTGTCAAAAGGTCAGGCTCAAAGTTCATCCCTTTCTTTATATCACTATAATTTGCTAACTATTTAACATAGAAATGTCAAACTTAGCAGCTGGACACCTCATTGCTCAATAATCTTTGCTATTGATTTAAAGGACATGGGTCAAAGGTTAAGGTCACAAATCAAGATCAAAAGTTTCCCCCTTGCTTTAAAAAGATCTAATATGATAAACAAAAAGAAACGTCAAACTTCACAACTGGACACCATGTGGGTCAACAAAGATCCTCATTGATTTGTAAGGTCATGGGTAAAGATCTTGATCTTTGATCCCAAAGGTGAAACCTTTATAAAAAAAAAATCTCTGAATAGAGAACCCTTTCACGTAGAGCTCTCAAACTTGACAACTGAACCATGCAATTCAACAATGATCTCTATTGATGTTATGGTTACATTTAGGTATGTTAAACCACAGTTTCACTACGTCTTGCTCTTAGCTAGCTTTAGCTCGCTTTTTGCAAGCTTTCACTTCTTTTGGCTCTTAGCTAACATTTTCCTGCTTATTGCTAGCATTTCAGCTAATCATTCAGCTGGTTTTAGCTGCATTTTTAACTGTTAAGTTTAAACAGACAGTTCAGCGATTGAAGTGTTACAGCTTTATTTTTAGCTTTTTCAGCAGTTTACAGCAAAATCATTCAGCAATAAGCATTCACACTGGATTTTTCGCAGGAAATGCAAATTATTCTATTTAGAACTGTTTGCTGCCTGGGTGCTTTGTGGAATATCAGTGCGAGGCTCGCTCACCATCCTCTTTTCTGCCACCTGTAAGTGCTTTAAATCTTGGTTCTTGGTAATGGGCCAAACTGTGTGCCGGGAGGAACATCCTGCAGGATCCTGGGAGGTGAGGACATGGGCCAGGTGCTCCCAGCAGCCTGCACCCACTTTGGCTTCGTACAGATGCTGCTCACAAACCATCAAATTTATTCCAGATTATACCAGCAGCAGTGTATCAAGGTTGATTGTGGAATGCCTCCTCCTGTTATGTGCTTTGCATGGATAGACTTTAGTCAGAGACATTTGTCAGTAAAAGAGAAGTGGAAATGACTACAGCAAGGTCTTTCAGGTCAAAGAATTCCTCAACCTGTTTTTTTATTATCAGTTCTCTTTAAAATAACAGAAAAGCAAATGGATTTATTTGAAAGACAAAATTAAAATTAAAATCAATAAAATATTTAACAAAACATGGTCAGTCTAATATAAATAATGTATGATTATAAAATTGATAGTTTGGATCTTTTGATGTGAACTCTGGGAAATTGTATGGAAAATTAACATCTTACCTGTTGTAGAAAGTTTTTTTTTTTTTTACAATCTCAGAGCTGTTTTAAGATGACTGTGATCAGTTTTGGCCCCCCATTTGGTGGGTCGTGCTCCCCCCCCCCCCGGTGGTGGGCCCTCCTGCCGCCGGTACATTGGCGGCTCTCAGCAGCAGGGGCTGGATGGTGGGGTGTGTGCGGGCCCGCCCTGGTGGCTGCCTGCGGGGGCCTGGGTGCCCTGGCTCTGTCGGGCCTCTGTTGGGGGGTGGTATGACCTCGGGACTCGGGGCTTGGTCTCCATGGCCTGATCCACTCTGGAGGGGCGGGTTGCCGGCGGGGCCTGTGGACTCGTCGCTACGGCCTCCTGGGGGGTTTCTGCATTGTGGTTGCTGGGGATCGCCCGGGACTTCCCTTTGCTTCTCTCTCTGGGGGGTGCGGGTGTCCCTGTTGGGGGACTCTCGGAGTTCCGGGCTTGGGGGCCGCCGTGTGTCTGTGGTTCCGGTCTTCCCTGTGTTACCTTCGTGTCCTGTGGGGACGGGTTTATGGGTCCCCACATCCACTATTGAACATTTTTATGAGAAACCTTATAGTGATAAGCATGCTCACACAGGTGTTTAGATTCAGGTGTTTATCAGATACACACTCAGTTGGGTTGTGGTGGCCATCAAATATATATTGTATTACCATGTA